CCTTTTTTCCCCCCTAGCATCATATTTCACATACAGAAATGCTGTGATTCCTTTTCCCAAGTGAGGGTTTTTTTATCTCTGAGGCATTATCAAAAAAAACGACCAAAAACAATCAAACAAAAACAACCTATTTTGGGTAATGAAATTCTGTGTTTGTTCTCACTATTTGTATAAATGTTTAATCTGTTTTTGGTTCCTACTGGGCTATTTGGTTTAATGGTGTCTTACCACTGTGAGCTTCCCATGTTGTCTCATTGTGCTTTAAACGACAATATCCCCAAATGCCATTCCCAGAAGGACCCTGCTGCCCGTCCCTTCCCTTCTGTGCTCTCCTCCCCTGCAGTCGGGGAGGCAGAGGCAGGTGATGGGGGCTGAGCAGGGCACTGCACTTAGGGCTGCCTGGGAGGAGGGATGGCAGAGTGTTCTCCAAGTGCTCCTCCTGCATTGTGCCGTCTCCTTTGTCCGCTTCCCTCCCCTGTCATTATCTCTGCGTGGCTCCTGCTTGCTTTTCCCTGCCTTTCTTGCACTGAACTCTGGTTCCCAGCCCCTCCTGGCCTCCCCAGGCAGCTGAAACTCTGAGCAATGGGGATGGCCAGATCTCAGGGTAGCAAACGCCCAGGGATGCTGACGCAGGGCTGGAGCAGTTCACAGCTCTCAGGGCTGTTCTTGTCTTCAAATCTCAATTCGAATGTGATCAAGCTGTGAAAAACTGGGCTTTTACACAAAGGAGGATACAGGGAGCATCAGCAGATACTGTCTTCCACAGTTCTGCTTGGGCATCCTGCTCTGCTTCCAGCTGAGAGGGCTGATGTTCTTCAGTAATCATGATACAAAACCTTCTCCAGCAATTTTCTTTTCCTGAGAGCCTAAGAAATACCCTCCAGTACCATCAAAACATTTGCACTTGTTGAAGTAAAGAATTGTACATGTGAAAACCTAGTGTAGATGTGAGGAAAGAAGGATGGAATTTTTCCTTTGCTGTTTGGAAATGGGACCTTTTGCAGTTTGTGGAGCTGGTAGTTTTCTGTAGTAGAGACTCCCCATTTTGTTGTTGCCTTATTTCATAGAGGGTAGAAAATGGAGTCAGTTGGTTTGTCACAGAACAGGGTGTAGGGAGCACCATCCTGCTTTCCCAAGGCTGTGCACAGGCAGGGAACGTGTGAGATGTTGTGTCTGGAGCACTGGAAAAGGCATCTCTTAATCACCTCCCAGGATGGTTTGGTGGCAGTGCCTGGGATGGATGCTCTAAAACAGATGTTGCCCACTGGCAGAGGTTGCCCAGGGAAGCTGTGGATGCTCCATCCGTGGAAGTGGCCAAGGCCAGGCTGGACAGAGCTTGAAGCACCCTGGGACAGTGGAAGGTGTCCCTGACCATGGCAGGGGGTGGCCCTGGGTGATCTTTAAGGTCCCTTCCAACCCAAACTCCTCTGTGGTTCTGTGGCAGATGTTTGTGCTCCTGTCCTGCCTCATGTGCCATAAAAAGATGATACAAAAGTACACGTTGAGAAGGGCTTAGAAGACAGGATGTTCTTCATGGAATCACTTTTCTCTTACTTTTATCTAACCATGCATCTTATTTTGGAAGACCACCTTTATTTCTTTTCATTTGTCATCACAAGTCAGGATAAAAAAAGCCCTAATACAGCTTTCTCTGCACTCATTTTCTGGCTCATGGATTGTGCTCTTTAAGGGGCAGCATTTAGAAGCTATTTAAATGTGTTACGTCAGGATTGGGGTTTTTTCCTAAAGTGTTGTATTTAAGTAAATTCCTTCCTTAAATAAATAAATAGCTATGGGCTATCATCATGTCCAAGGGTTTTCAAGAAAATTTACATTTTGAAAGACACTGTTGGAGGCTAACACGGCCATGCAATTACTGTATGTAAATCACTTCACTTATTTCCTAATCTTGCTGAGGATGAAGTACAATTTTTGTGCGTGTGCCTCTTCCTCTCAAATTTCCTTAGACAATGAGGTTTTCTTGTCTTTTAATTGCTGGCCATGATTTTTGTTCTGCCTAGTCTGATTGTGTTTATTTTATGGTGGGGGACCTTTATCCCTGGGATTGTTTTGAGATTGGGTTGGCTGTAGAAACCATTTGGGATAGATTGAAGTTGGGTGCACAACTAATTGCATCTTCCATCCCACAAATGGAAGAACTGCTTTCTTAATAACAGCCTCATGCAAAGGCTGGGAAATATCCTCTTGTTTCTGTGCCCCACACATCTGCTTTTTTCCATTTTATCCATGCCTGCCAAATCTGCCCAGCAGCTCCTGCCACATTTTTAATAAATCTTCTGAGCTAAGCTTTTTTTGCTGGTTGGTACCAGCATGGACACCTGTGAGACAAAGATGGGGCAGTTCATGTCATTAGGAAGGAGCTCATTCATGGGCATTGCATTAAGCTGTGTGGGACTCTGATGAGCAGCAATTTCTCTGATTGTTATTAGTTTCTTTTGTAGGAAGTTTTCCTCCAGGGAGTAATGCAAGGAATTGAGATGGCTGGGGAAAAAAACTTGAATGGATGTGTTCGTCCATCAGAAAATGCACTCTGTCAGAATTAAATACACTTTGCAAATTGGTTTTGTTCGGGGAAGTAAAGGGGGAAAGAGTTGCAGCCCCAGCATAAAGAACTACTTGAGTGTTTTCAGAACAAAATGGTAACTTTTTCCCTTCTTATGTGATATTTTTTTTATAACCTGGTATTTCTCCCTGAAAGTGGAATGGGATGTAATAGAGGTAAAAAATCATGTGTGTGTGTGTAATTGTTGATCATGGAAATGCCACTAGCTACGTGGGCTTTAGCTACACTAACAGCTTAATTTTTGTTGCATGAAATATTTTGACTGTACCAAGCTTCTGCCTCCGGAATGGAAGTTTTCTGCATCGTCTAGAATGTTGCATTAATTTTTAATATGAGTGGGAATCGTGCTCTTTAGCATCCCTATGTTTTAAAAAAATCAATTAATTATTGCTATAAATCTCAGTGATTATGCTGCAGTTGTGCTGCTGGGAAATTGGCCATTAACTACCAGGAAATCGCCGATCATCCCTTAGTTGGAATTCAGCTGTACCGACACAAGGCTTTTCCTTTTGGAAATTAACTATCAATGTGATGCATAATTGATAACCATTTATAATAATAACAATAATCTCCATGAAATTGTCATCCCAGAGTGCAGCAGCTTTGTTAGAGCCTTTACCCCTTGCATGCTCAGCCTACTGCTCTGGTTAACTGGGTTTTCTGGGAAGTTATTGGAGTGTTTTTAGGAGAGCCAATGCTGGTGCAGGAGAATAAAATGCAAAGTAGAAATGCCTGACTGGGCTATGTGAACCTGCAGGGGTGCTCCAGAGGATGGGTTAAGTGTTGCTGTTGCCTCTCTACACAAGGACAAGCAAAACTCCAGGTTACAAACACTGCCCAAGGTCAACTTGTGGACATCAACCCGGATTTTTTGTGTGGTGTCTTCTCTTGTGTCCTGCATTTCATGAACTGGATTTTTTTTGGTTTGTCACAAAAATTCTGTTTGCAAATGCTGCAGTGTGAAAATTCAGTTGCTGGAGAGGAGCTGTTTGGGGGTCAGTTTGAATGAATGGTGCCGAGTTTGTGGTTACTGCTGACTTTCAGGATTTTTTTCAATTTTTTTAAACCATTCTATGTAGGCAGAGAGGTTGGGACTTTGCAGGGTGATACAGATAGCCACTCAGGAGAGGGTCTTTTTCTATGCTTCCACTAATTTCTGCCTTCCTCTTCCCTTCCTCTCTGGGCAAAGCTTCTGAAAATGTGGTGGTGCTTTGCTTTGCCTCTAGAAATCACAGATTTACACTAATTCTGTTCTTCTGCAGTGAGTGGTGGATGGCTGGGGGGGGGGCAAAGGCCTTTTTCTTGAGCAGGATCCCTTCTTGGGAAGGTTTGTAACTGTTACCAGCTTTTATCATCTGTCTTCACCTTAAAATACTAAAGAGGATTTTGAATCAGCAGTCACATAAAATATTAGTGTGAGTTTTGTTGGATTGTTGGAATTCAGTTGTCAGCATGAGGTCTCTTCTTCCATGTCTTGGTTCATGAATGCTGTTGTGGAATTTGCTTTGAAAAACTCTCACTGGGTTTTTACATCAAAAAAAAATCAAACCTGGTAGAAGTACCAGAACAGCACATTCAGAGGCTGCAGCTGAGCTCAGCTCAGTGTTCAGGGATTAAACAAACCTTTGGCTCTCAGTAGGAGCAAAACATGTCAGACCTCAGAGTATCCATTAAGGGTCTTCCTCTGTGCCACCAAAATGCAGAAAACCTTTAGCTGTTGTCTCTTTGGAGAGCATTTCTTGTTAATCAGCCACACATGTGGCTTCATGGATCATTTTATCTCCCTGGCATTGAAAATGTGTGCACTGGAATCAACACCTGAAGTTTAAGGTTGGTCCTTATGAGGGCAAGGACAGGCTGTGGTGACGGCTGGAATATGCATCGAAGTCTTCTTGTAAATTCAAGGTCCATTGATGACTTTTACAGGACAGGGTTTAAATATGAAAGTGTTTTGTGTATGAGAGTACTAGCAGAGCAAGAACTACTTCCTCTGTTTTATATACTCACTAAGAATCTTTCAGCATCTGTGAGCCTGCAAAATAGCCTCATGGATTTTATCCACTGTGAATAGATTTTTCAGTCAGAAATAAAACTGGGAAGCCCATGCAGTGCTTTGGCAGTTCTTGTGTGTAAGGCTGGTTTTCTGAATCACAGGGAGGGTGAAGAAACTGAGTTGTGGTGCCAGATGTGTGACTTGTGGGGTGCAAACTCAGAGCTGTCCTTCCCAAAACCTGCTCTGCTGTTGGGCACAGGCAGATCTCACCTGGTGTACTGGAAATCTGACACTGGTTTGGGCTGGAAGGGGCCTTAAAACCTATCTCCATCCCAGGTTTTGAGCCCCATCCACCCTGGCCTTGAGCACTTCCAGGGATGGGAAGTGAACAAATCTTACAAATGCTCTTCTTTCTCTGCAGGACCCACAGAGGCGGTATGCACGCCGATTCCTGTGAGTTTTCCTAAGCTCCTGGGGAACTGCTGTGCTTTTTGAGTCAGAAAGTTGCAAAATCCCGTCAAGAATGGCACTTGTGGATAAACACAAAGTCAAGCGGCAGCGACTGGACAGAATTTGTGAAGGTAAGAGTGTGATTTCATTTTTCTGATGGATGGTTAGGGTAGAATATCTGATTTTTCCTTCTTTCAGTACTTTGGCATAAAGAGATCCAAATCCAGGACTGGATTCCTTGTCCTCTCTGTAGGCTCAAAATCCATTCACACTGCTCTGGTTACTCAATTGGAAGTCATGTGTAGTCCTGTGAAGAGTTTTGTTTAATTACCAGGTCACCTCCTCTTATCCTAATTTCTACTAAAACGATTTGCTCAGTCCCAATTTAAAACATGTTTACTATCACCCTGTAAGAAAAATGATTGAAAATGTAAGAGTTGTTGTTCTTATGGTTTTGAGCACATTGTTGTAGCAGCTTTTATTCGGTTGGTGTGTGGGTGTCAGGCAGGTTTGCTGCAATTCTTCATTCTTGGTTTGTTAGTGTCTCAGCACAGGTGACTTAGGTTTTAGGAAACATTTTCTATTGCAGCTCACATGGTGTTAAGTTACTTAGGACAGAAATCAAGTGATGGCAAACAAGATGTGACTTTTTGGTGTACACTCCAATAATTCTCCAATACTTGTGTGAATTCTGCCATCAGCAACAAGTGCAGTGCATAGTGTTCTTTTAGCAGGAATATCTCACGTGCTCAACTGCTCTTAAGGAGATGGATAGTGGCCTGCAGGGTAACAATTTGCAATATTACTTGAATGCCAGTAAGGTGAAATAAGATTTGGTGGTAGATGAAAGCACAGAGCTCACAGGGGAGCTGTGCTGCGCCCATTTGAGCAAAGTGTTCGGGGCTTTGTGAAGTTTCAGTGTGGACTGCTGATCAGCAGGACAAGGATAGATTTTGATTTTTCTGTTATAAATTGCTTACTCTACACTGCTGCTGTTTTAAACTCATCATAAGTTACTTATCTCTTTTAATTTTGCTCTGTTAATTTTGGAAAAGGGGAGACAAAGCAGAAGAGATGAGTTAGGAGGGAGTATCGAGGGTATGCTGCAGTGTGGAGTTGCCTCTTTCTCCTACTGAATGTCATAAATGCTCAGGTGTAGCACACTATCTCATCTTCAAAACCTACTTTGAACTTGACTTAAAAGAGTTCTATCAGCTGAGCCTGGATTTTCAAAAGCTGCATTTCTGGTTTGATGTTTACCATCAGATCTAGTTGCTGAGTGTACAAGAAATTCAAAAGGACCGTACGACAAACCTGCTAACGGAGCTTTAGATGTGATTGAAGTTTAGATTATTTTTCTCTGATATATGAGCTTTTTTCTTCTTTCTTGGTCAAAAGATATTATTTTCTAATCTGTAAATGTGCAGGAGACGTAACTTTTTAAAGTATGCTTTGTCATTTGCCACTGGGTTTGTAATTTGATGGAAATGATGGGAGACGCTGTTGTGTTGTATTTGGAAGCAACAGAAAACGACTGATTGTGAGAAGCATTGTAAAAATTACTTTGAAAAATGCAAAAAGCTTTGGATTTGCTAAAATATTAGATTTGTAGGACAGCTGAATACTCTACTGGCCTCTCTGATGGCTATTTTTTACTATAGGCTCCTAATCTTGGATTATAGCATAGAAAAGCACTGAAAGGGGCCATCACAGCTGCTGTGAAAACACACTTTGAAACAAAAAAAGATCATTTTTCTGGAAAGGTATATTGAATAATCAGTGAAAGATGGTGAGAAATTAGGGAACTAGTTCAGCAGATGGAGGAGTCTTTGCAAACAGAATTGTGTTCAGTGAGAAGAATCTATTGCTCCATCAAGCTTAGGGCAATGTGGTCCAAAATAGTTGCTTTTAATGATTTCCTGTTCTGTGGAAGCACTTAAGAAGCTTTTCCCTTTAAATGTGAATGGCATGCAAAGCTGCATTTACCTGATGAAAGACTAAATGTCTGGTAGCACAGAGGTGGATTTCTGTGCTTTCCCTGAAGTTGCATATACCATCCCTTTTACTATTCCCCACACAAACCCTTGCAGAGTTTGCTAGGAATGGACTTATTCCATGCAGCAGGATGGTGCAGGTCTGGAGGTGAAATATCCTCGGGCTACATGTTGTAATCACTGTCCAAACTGCCAGACAGATTCTTCTTCCTGCAGGCTTACTGAAACCATAACCAGACACATGTTGAAGGAAATGCCTTACAAACTGTCGGGGCATTAAAAAGAGTTTATTAAGGAGTTGCAGTGTTTGTATTACTCTGTTAAACGTACATCTGGCGTGGAAAAACAATCCAAGCCATACAGGGAGGTGGTATAGCTTAAAAAGCCAGTTCACAGCCTTTACAGGCAGGTTTATGAGTCTTCCAAAGAGAGGAGCTGTGCAGTCTCAGTGCATGGCTCAGCTTCACCAGCTCCTCTGGTTTTGGTTTTCTAAATATATCTTTATGACATCTTCATGTGACAGTGTTACTTTTTGCTCTGAGCAGGCTGGTTTGAAGACGTGAGCTTTTTGACCAGATCACAGATTTTGATCTGTAGAGGAATATGGGTGGGATAAAGGTCCAGACTTGAGGGGATAAAGGAATTTCAGGGCAGCAGCCTGCAGCAAAGACATTTTGAATAGTCTGTCAGCAATTTAGTGGGTTGGTGATGCCCACCCGAATGAAGTGAAGTTGAACTGTGCTCAGTGGTCTTGGCTTACCCACTTCTTTCTCTTCTGGTTGTCCCAGAGACTTTGGGTGCCTATTCTGTAATTGGATCCATATGGGTGGTGGGATGGACCCATTGAATGGCTGGGGCTTTTGCAAATAATATATGCAGAGTGGTTTGCATAATTCCTGTTTGTGGAATTGTGTCTTTTTCCGTAGTGGGTCAAAGTATGCTTTAGAGGTGGAGCGCTGGTGCTGTGAGGAGTCAGACTTGTCCAGCAGCCCCTCTTTTGGGTCCTGTTCCCATGAGCTTGTGATTTTGCCACATTTAAAATTTGTTTGAGCTGAAATTTTCTTTCCATGACGGGATTTTACCTCAGGGCGAACGAAAGAAAAAAAGAGTTCCAGCAAAAACCGTTGAGCCGCGTCCGAGTGGGAGATGGAGAGGGAGGGATTTTGGCTTTGCTGTGTGTGAAACGAAGCCGAGGCACAGTCCTGCAGCCGTGGATGTGGAGCTGCCAGACCCGCCTGCTCTGCCTGGGATAAAAAGGGCCTGGATTCTGCAGCCAAGTTGCTGTGTGTAGGAGTGGACTCCTTCCCAAACTTGCTGCAGCTTCCAGCCTTTCTGCGAAATGTCAGCAAAAGCCCTCGGGGCAGAAGCTCACCTGCCTTTCATTTAGGAAACAACAACAGAGAGATTAGATGTAATTTTTTCTTTGCTACCTGTGGTAGAAAAGGGTGCCTGACATTACCTCCAAGAAACCCCACACTCCAAAGACTATGGCACTCCTGGTGTGTGGCATCCATCCCTCCCATGGGACTCCAGTGCTCGCACACGGCATTCCCAGACAAGGAAATTACTTGCAGCATCATTTTTGCTGCTTGCTCAGCTGATCTTTATCCTGTGCTTCTGTCAATATGGTTAAACAAATATTAAACATCACCAGGGGGTAAGCAGGGAGTGAGAGCAGCCCATGCACAGTTGCTGGCTGTGTCTCTGGGAGCAGGCAGGGGAGAAGGTGCTATGGCACTCTTTCCTTGTTGAGTGTTAAAGGCAGCAGTGGTGGCACATCCCGGATGCAGGATGGCAGCATCTTGTCTCTGTGTGAACATGGGTTTCCCAGCACCACTGAATTCCTCTGTGATGATCCCAAGTGCTGCCTCTGCCCCAGACCACTGCAGCTCTGCCAGCCTGTCTTCACCACCAGTGCCATGGAATGGGAAGGCCTGGCTTTAGAGATTGTAGCCTGCACTACGCATATGAGTCAGTTAAGCCTTCAACACATGCTCCAAAAGTGGCAGCCCTGAGATGAGCAAGAAGCAAAGTGAAAAAATAATAGCAAGGCCAAACAAACCCAGACATTTTCTGACAGTTTTTGCTCCAGGATTTGTCATTATCCAGTGGGAAATCATGTCCTTACATGTCAGTTTGTGCCACCAAAGTTGTCTGTACTTTGCAGAATAGAACTGTTTGCAGGGCAAACAAGCTATCCATATTCTTTGTTTTCTTTCAGATCCTTTGATATGTCTGATGGCTGATAAATGCCAGCAGAGTCACATAACACTTTTCAGTGCTTAATGCACGAGTCTCTGGCTCATTGCCTTACATTCTGAGTGGCACCCTGGTGTCCTCTTCAGCTGAGGCTTCTGTGGTCTTACTCCCTGTGGGAATTCCTCCTGTATTTATCTTCCAGCTGCTGTAGTATCTGTGTGTGGCCGTGACTCTCCACAAATCCTTGGTTCTCTGTGGGAATGTGACCCCACTGTGGTTACTGAAGCCTCTTGGGTGGGTCTGAGTCCTTGATGCAATAATTTGTCTTGCAAACCTTGAACAGGCACCTTCCTGTGATGCACTGTCCAGCTGGGATCATGGAATCACAGGGTGGGTGAAGGGGCTGCCCAGGGAGGTTGGGAGTCCCCATCCCTGCAGGTGCCCAAGGAAGGACTGGGCTGGTGGCTGGTGGCAAGGTGGGGATTGGTCACAGCTTGGATTCATGATCTCAGAGGTCTTTTCCAACTTCAATGATTCCTCAAATGGAGGCAGGAAATTGGGGTAGGAATTGATGTTTTCAACATCACTGAAGTTATCTCTGCTGTGGCTGCATTAAGCTGGTTAATTCATCTCAAGGGTGGATGGCAATTTTGTATTCCACTCCTCCCCCTGTGACAGAAGTCAGTGCAAATCATGTCCAGTGATATTTGAATAAATATACTGTGTAATGGTAGGTGCTCTGGTACCTACCTTTTTACCCCTTTATTTCAGTTTATCCTCCACAGAAGTGAACTTAATAATCACAATGTCAATTATTGTTTATTGTGCACTTTCTTGTTAAAAAACCCACACTAACCCTCAATAAAAGTGTCCCTGAAGACCTGTGATATTTCTGGCTTTTCAGGAGTATTTGAGCAGTGTGTCCCTGAGGTCTGGGC